AAATGGTGCAAAATTTTAAAAGATAATCAACGGCTGATATGTGTAGCACCTTTAGAGAAATATACATACCCCGAGTTTTATCCCAAAATATTGATTTGTAGTTACCAACTTTGAGTAACTTTCAAAAATTGAAAACCCATGCTTAGAAACACAGTTTGTGATTTAGTTTGATGACTAACCTTTGACCGTGCTGATTTTTACTTTTTAGACCTTAGTAGGTCTTTTGTGATTAAATATACCTTTTGAATCCAGAAAATCAATTTGAAAATTCAACTTTTTGATCTTTCGAAGATCACTGAAGGTCAACTAAAGGTCAAAGGTCTAATCTAAGGTCAGATTTAAACTCTTGAGAACTTAAGGATGATTTAAAAAAGTTTGGTCAATTTAAAGCATAGTGAAATTTGGACTTGGAAAATTTGACCTTTTTCTGTTTTTGAGGTCTTATATCTCAAAACTGGTGCAAAATGTTGATAGATAATCAGTTGCCAACCAAAGGTCAAATCTCAAATCTAATAGGGTCAGATTTGAACTCCCTAGACTTTGTAGATGATTTTTTTTAAAAATGGGTCAAATTGAAGCAAGTTGAAAAATGACCAATTTTTACCTTTTTTTGACGTCAAATATCTCAAAAACGCGAACATATAGTGAGCAATTTGCTAGAGAATGCTTATATCTAGTTACAATTTAATTCATCGCAAGAAATTATGAAAAAGTTAAATTTGACCTTGATTTTGACCTTGACCTAGATATAAACTAATTTCATGTCCAGACCAGTCCAGACCCTGTTAGCTCACAACAATGGAGAATGGCAGTAGGGTGTTTCAACAGCTTCGCAATATATCCTCTTCACGAGTATCCTAAAGATTCAACGGTGCACCCAGAATGTCTGCTCATTAGATTAGCAACTGTGTTTTTAAGCCTCCTACTGTTCAGTGGAGGCTTACATTTTAACCTTGACATTTGTTGTTTGAAATTCACTGCACTTGCCATCATTTTTGTGTGTCAAGTTTTGTATATTCTTGTGAAACTGTTTACACTTATTCTGGTCACTAGATCAATCCTTCTTTTACATTCAAACTGCATCCTAATTATTTTGAAACTTACCACTGTTGTGATGGCTTTGTGCTGTATTCCTGGATCATCATTGTTTATCCACAATCCAAGCCATTTATGTCATTACTTGATTACGCTATGCGGTGATGTGGAAAGCAATCCAGGCCCAAGTAATGATTTGAAAATTTTATTTAGTAATGTCAACAGCATTAAAGCTGACTCACTTACACGGTTGGATTTCCTCAAAAACTATGCAAAACAAGAAAATTTTCATTTAATAGCACTCTGTGAGACTGGCCACATATCCAATGAAGATCTGAGTTCGAACATTTTTAATATCAATGAATATGGCAAGCCAAAGTACTCAAATAACAAGGGTCGAGGTCTTTTACTTTGGAGTCATGACTCTATCGAGACTAAAATATGTGATCAGCATGTGAACGACGAACTCGCGAACTGTTGGGTAGAAATCCGGGTGAATTTCAAAAAATTTCTGTATGGATTCTTTTATAGATCACCATCAATGACAGCGAACGAAACTAGAAATTATTTTTCAAAACTCAAATTGAATTTAGAACAAGTGCTCATTGAACCCAATAATGGTGTTTTTCTCAATGGAGATTTCAATGCGAGAAATGATGCCTGGTATACTGATGACCATAATAATCTTGCTGGTACTGAACTGAAAAAACTGCTCACTGATCTTGGTCTATCGCAACTTGTTAATGAGCCTACTAGAATCACTGGCAACTCCAAATCATGCATTGACTTGTTGGTATCTGATTCTGAGCATCTCGTTTCTTTTAAAATTGATCCTCCAATTGGTAATTCTGACCACTGTTCTATTATATCTCAATTTAGTGTTAAAGTTCCACGCGAACCTTCAATTAAAAAAACAATTTTTTACTTCAAAGATGTGAATGCCGACTTATTAAATTCGAAGATAAGGGATTTTGACTGGAGTTTTATTGGAACTGATTCTGTTAACGAAGGCACTACAAAACTTGTGAAAAATTTTCTTACTATTATCAAATAAAATGTTAAAAATAATATTCGTTCAACAAGATTTGATGACCAACCATGGTTCAATAGTTCCATTAAAAATGAGATTTATAAAAGAAATAGGCTTCATCACAAATTCAAATCCACTGACAATGCAACATATAAAGAAAAGTATGTAACCCAAAGTCGCAAAGTCAAAGAATTAATAGAAACAGCTAAAAGTGACTACTTATCTAATGTTACTTTTAAAATTGAAAATTGTGATAAAAATTCAATCAATTATTGGACACTCATCAAAGACTTGTTAGGTAAAAACAGTATTTCTTCCATTCCAGTTTTATACCTGCCTAACAATGATGTTCCTGCATGCTCCAGTTTGGACAAATCTAATATGCTCATGAAATACTTTGTACAGAAAAATCTGATTGAAAATAATGCAAATCTTACACCTATTTTTCCAAGCAGAACCAATCAAATACTCCAAAACTTCAGAACTTCACAACAAGAGGTCTTTGAACTACTTAACGAGTTAGATGTACATAAATCTCCTGGTCCTGATGAAATCTCAAACAAGATGTTAAAAATGTGTGCCAGCTCTTTTTCATTACCAGTAAGCAACCTATTTAATAGAATACTTGATGAGAATATTTTTCCAGATATCTGGAAGGAGGGAATAGTTATTCCAATTTACAAAAAAGGTGACTCAACCATTGCCTCCAATTATAGACCTGTAACTCTCCTAAGTACTTTGTCTAAAGTTTTTGAACGCATTATTCATAGACATTTGCTTTCTCATCTTCTCGAGCACAATCTCTTGTATAAACTCCAAAGTGGGTTCTTACCTAAACATGGAACAACAAATCAACTAATAAATATTGTACATGATCTTCATCAACATATTGATAATAAAGAGCATATACGCTCAATCTTTTTGGACCTGAGTTCAGCTTTTGACGTTGTCCCGCACAACGTATTGATAACTAAATTAAAAGGCTATGGTTGTAACAACAATTTTATTAATCTCATTAAATCATACTTATGTGATAGGCGTATCAGAGTTAAGGTCAATAATAACTTATCAGAATGGTCCTCTGTTCAACATACAGATGCTCAAGAATCAGATATACAAATACATAATAACAACCCTCAGATCAAGAATTATAAAATTAACGCAGGAGTTCCTCAGGGTTCAGTGTTGGGACCCCTCCTATTTTTGATATATATCAACGACTTACCGGATGGTCTTGTTTCAAAGACTTTCATATTCGCGGATGACACCTCACTCCATAATCCTTTTGATGTAAATGAAATATTTCTCGATATTCATGAACCCATTCAAAGTGATTTGGACCACTTAGACCAATGGGCCGCAACTTGGAAAATGTTATTCAAAGCACAGAAAAGCGCTGATTTGATATTCACTGGACATAGAAACATTAATATTGAACCTCCTCCTCTGAAAATGAACAGGGAAATAGTCCCTAGATGTAATACTCATAAACACCTCGGACTTACTCTTGACCAGCACCTAAACTTCAACGCTCACATTGACCACTTAATTAACAAAGTAATAAGCCTGATGAGGCCCATGAAGAAACTCTGCAAGATCTTGTCAAGCAAGCACCTTGAAACTTTATATAATGCGTACATACTCCCTCATTTTGATTATTGTGACATCATATACAATAGTGCATCAGATACCAAATTGCAATCTCTTGAACGGTTACATTATAGAGCAGCATGTCTAGTCTCTGGAGCAATCCATGGCTCGAACACTAATAAAGTTCTCTCATCAATAAACTGGAAAACTTTATCCTCTAGAAGAGAGGAACATCTCAAAATATTTATTTTTAAAGCAAGATATAATAACTTTCCTCCTTTCATTTGTAATCTTGTCAGGTCCTATGAGAATGATATACAGGTGCGCTCACTAAGGAGCCACAGGGACTATAAGATTCCCCTTCAAACAAGCGCTTTGGCTAAGAAATCTACAATTTTTAAAGGTATGGCCCTTTGGAATAACCTTCCACCAGATTATAGAATTGGCCAGCCAATTTCAAGATTTAAAAGAATAGTAAGAGGCGATGGAAGCCATGCTTCTACCCTATCAACGTCAAAACTAAAAAATGCCATGCCTCGCTACCTAGAAATTCCGTTAAACCGACTCAGGTCCGGACTTCTCTTGCAAGCTCACCTCCATGCACACAACTTTGAACGAGTTGCTAATCCTAAATGTTTATGTGACAATACAAACCAGACAACTTTACATTTCCTGTTGAAATGCCCACTGCTGACAGAACAGAGAATAACACTACTTGCAGGATTGGAGACGATAGGGATCCGTACCCACTATGATGGACTTAATATGCATGATCAATCCCAGTTCTTACTTTTTGGAGATAATAAATTTCCAATAGATGTCAATGAGAAACTAATGAACATAGTAGCATATTATATCCACCAGGGTCTAGATCTTTTGGACATGTAATCGATTACAACATGTTACAACTGAAATCCCTCTGGCCAAGGGGAAAAAAAAAACTTACACATTTTTGTGATATACGAGTGTAGTGTGATGATATTTTATTGACTTTTTTTCATCTATTTTAACAATAACATGACATAAAAATAACTTATTATGTAAAAACTTAATAACATTCCTTTGGATTTCACTCATAATTGCCGTCAATGTCATTAGACTTTGGCAATTGTTTAAGTTTGTATATCTGTATTTTATGGAATACAATAAAGATGATTAATAAAAAAAAAAAAAAAACCAGTCCAGACCAGGTCCCTAATAGGACCATATATGAGATAACTGAAACCTAGCTGGAAGTTGGAGAAAAAGTGCTAAAAAGAATAATAAATAAATAAATAAACAATAATTACAAAAACTATAAGAGGCCCCTTGAAGGGCTGCCTGATAACTATAAAGGATATATTACCTCCTAATACTCGCTTTTGTTCAAGGTAATTTATATAATCCGTTAGTCCGTTGAATATCTCATTTTGTAAAGTTGCTAACTGTTCCTCACGCTCTGGCAGCAAATTAGTGGCGTCCTCTGAGTACTCTGGTAAATTATTAGTGAATTGTCGTTCTTCTAAGGAGGAGCCATCTTGATTGAGTAGCTCACTCTAAAATTCAAAAAATGAATTGGCCTAAAGAAGAAGCTATGGAGAGCAGGGGTATTTTCACGTCATCACATCAGATAAAGTAACAATACGTATTCGATTGCTATAGAGAGTATGTCACGTTTCCGGGCTCGAGTTTTTGTTACAAATCAGAATCACGTGGTTATTACATTCACGAAAGATAACAATCATTAACAAAACATTGACAATTTTCAGATGCATCCTGATTCACGTCTTTGGCCACAAAAATGAACTCTCAAAATCGCAAAACGACTTGGGGCCCATGTCACACCGATAAGCCCATCCAATGGACTGGACAGGCCTCTAACAGGAGAAACGTCATCTTGTTAACAATGGTGTCGATCAATGATGCTCTCTATGCGAGCTAAATATTTTTAGTCATAACTATTGATATAAAGATAATTGACTGATAAAATTCGAAAAATATTCATCCATGTGTTTTTAAGACTTGACACCATTTAAAGGCATTTGTCACACTCGACGAATCAAATAGACCATCGCCTATTTTAATTTGAGCAAGAATCGAGAAAGCCCGATGGTAGACCTTCACCTCTCTTATAAAAGATAACATTCCATTTGGCAGTTGTTTCGGTGACTGACTGACATTTGTGGAATCGCTAGCTTTAATTTTTGAACTTCCATTACTAGAGGTATAGTAATTCAATTTAGTTAACATTGAAATGGAAGGCCCTGTGTACCATTTATGAATCTTTGATAGCTACAAGATGATTAAAGCTTAATTTCAGTACAGTTTAGCGCCTTTTTCAATAAATTTGTTATCAAAGAGTATTCCATAACGATGTGTTCATACGTTAATTGGTTGTCAAACAAAGCCGATATCTCTAAATCAATAGGTTAATAGAGAAGAAAATAGCATGACAACAGTTCTATTCCCAGAAGAGTGTGCTTCCGGATTTTGCCATGTCATATTTGACACACTGGGCATTGATATAATACATTTCTAAAAAAATATTCATTGGTTACTGGAGTTTCATTTCATTTTTATTGTAAAAATTATTTTGTTGTATTCTGAGTGAAAGCAGATGAAGCTCGGTCTTAAAGAAGCAAAATTAAACTATTAAAATCACGCATGGGAATGGTAATTTTGGTCTTGAGCTTTTTAAGTTTTCAAATAAGCGCTTATTGGTGAAACTTTATTGATTAATGAACTTGTGAGATAAGGCCCATGGGGCTTTATTACGTCGGAAAACACAAAAATAATTTCATCAGATCATAAGCATCAGATCTTAATCAAAATAATGTAAAAAACGTAATTTACATTCTCACACATTTTTTTGAATGGCACGCAGTACACTTGGTTAAAGTGAAATAATAACAGTTACTGTAATTTTAGACAAACTTCCAAGATGTCAGAAAAAGGTTCGAAATTTTGGGATATCCGTGTCGCCTGTAATGCTAGTATTCAGATCCATGCAGCTCCCATCTTGATTCACTAGGTTTCAATTGCGTTGAACAACACCTTGGAAGTCGAAGATGTTCAGCTCCTGGTTCAGAAACTTTTGATTTCATAGAATTAGGCCTAACTAATTAGTTTGAATAAAATGCTTTCTCTCAAAGAAAATGTACATTAATTCTGAAATCAGTTTCGTCTTATATCTTTTTTCATTTATCTTGTCACGGCTTTCATTAACCTCGCTGGTCCATAATAACGCGATTTTCTTTGGTCATTAAGATAGATTAAGCTATTACATTAGAAGCAGCAATAAAATATCATAATTGCTTTAATAATTCGCACAATCGCTTGTAATATTACCTTTTTCGCTGATTCATTTTAGTGTATCACACACCGTTTTGTTAATCAACAAACTGTTATATCTAAAACTATTGCGTCTCGTCATTTTAGACGACATTTTACAAAATGCAATTCCTGAATGAAAATATTATAAGTGATTTATAGAATGGTAAAAATGAATTTGGGATACCCTTCGTTTTCTTATTTTTGGGTAGATGGGCAATGCAAGGCATTACAATCTTACAAAATCTAATATGGTTAAATGCGTGGTGTAAGTCACCACGAGATTAAACAATCGCAAAATTGAGTATAACATTATTAATAGATAAACGAATAAAAACGCTGGCTGGTATTTTACGAGCCCCCAAGCCCACGCGTCAATTATTCGACTTTTCTTCTTTTCGCCAACGCAGCTAGAGTGATGATGAAACCTGGCTAAAACTTACCCTGATAGTTTTTATTGTATTTTCTATATCTGTAAGTAAAGCTAACTGTCGGTTGTCTTCCGAGGCATCGTTAGTTGGAAAGCAAACGCCAAGTCCAGTATAGACAAGCAGAACGGAGAAGGTATGGATGTTCATTGAGAAAATGAAGTAAACTATCTGAAAGTACATTTTAAAAGATAAATCAATCTCATTAGTTAATATCCATTGGCTAAACCAGTTTATTTGGTTATCTGAGGGAGGAAAGAATCATCAATGTAACCAGGTAATGGGTTCCTAAATATATAAGCACGTGTGCCAAACGAGTAAATACCAAAAAGTAGTAAAACGTTCAGTGAGAAAATGAAATATTGCAAGAATTTGTGAAAGAAACCCCAATATCCCGACCCAACGCATCAAGAAGCAGGGTCACACAACCCTTCCTCCCCCACCATTGAGGAAGGATTAATTTCATTAGATGTCTCAATGGAGCAAAATATCACGTACCCCATCGAGTTCCCAGAGTCCCACGCATTATTGTTAATTCTATGGAGGTTCCACCATTGATGTACGATTTTTCCCAAAACTATTCATCATTAGTCAAAATAACAGAACCCACTTTTATTCCTCAGTAGGGTAATGAGATATCATAATGCTGAATCTAATAAGTGAAAGAAGCTATACCCACTTTAACTTAATAATATTTTGTTCTCCCAATTTATAATTAGGTTGCATTATAAGACCGCCATACTTGTGAGGATGGTTTTGCCTTATCAAATTATATTGAGCGCATGTATTGAGAACAAATGAATAAAATGAAAGGATTGGACAAAGATACTCCAAATTATTTCTCAAGACCAATTGACTTATTTGTATTTCATAAAATATCTAGACTATCTCTCAAGGACGAAGAGCTATATATACATTTGGAGTGATATACCCACCCAACGCCAATCCAGTGTGAGGGGTATGCTCTCCAAGAAAAATTATTTGAATCTTGATGCAATTTTAACGTTTCTCATGTGCACAAATCGTAGCATATCCGAGGCAATCATGCTTTTTGTCATCTTAAGTGCACCATTCACTGCCGTATAACCGCTACGGTCAAGTACCATCATTTTAATTTTCGCTTGACACCCTTATTGGCTTATTCAGGGTGGATCTTCACGCAGACTTTAGAAATCATGTTAAAAATGTAAAATTAAAGGAAATTAAATGGGATAAAGTTCTCAACCAACTTAGTCAAATTGATCATTGCGAATAATACTTTGAGAATTAAATTCGGGCATTGACATTGATCCTGTTAAATGGTTATAGGTGACATGACGCACAACACGATATAACATTATGACAATTTCCTTGTTCAACCCATAACTGGAAACGACGATTTATCCCGGGCAATTCATAGTGTAATAACCCTCGATAGCAGGTGGATGCTCCAGCCCAGCTGCTCAAGCCAGAGCGTCAGAGCGGAGGATCCTTGGTTCGACTCCCACACATACCAGGGGCGGATCTTGGAATCAACAAGGGGGGGGGGGGGCAAATTGCAAGTCAGAGAAAAAACGTCCGCGCTTGCGCGGCAAAAAAAATTGTTGAAATTTTGAGGCCCATTTTCTTCAAAATTTGGCCTGAAATTAAAAAATAAGGCCTTAAAGGCCCAGTAATGACCATAAAGGCCCACTTATTGGGGCCTGAAGGCCTTTTTTGGCCCAACATTTTTTTGGGCCCAATTTTTTTTTCTGGGCCCACCCAAGGGGGGGGGGGGCGGGCCCGCAGCCCCCCCCCCCCCCCCCTAATCCGCCAGTGCATACAGGGCATTGGATTTTGCACACTCCCCTTCAATGAATGTCTAGTATCTGGCTTTTTACACTACAGCACCCCTGACTAGCCCTGATTTGAGGTATATCGAAACCTTTCAGCTCAACTTATATTTCGTCTGATCTATAAGAATAGGCATGTGCTTTTCTCAAAATATTTCTTATTGCCATTAGATTACATATTTACCGTCAAACATATTTCAAATTGTCGACCACAATTGTTCGTGTAGGCCATCGATTCCAGTCCTTATTGGCTCATATATATCAATTGTCTCTCACTTTGAGTACTTGCAGCCATACTTACTCGGAGTAACCAAATTAATTAGACCACACTTACTAATGCTGGTGAGATGCAATCCAATGAATACCAAATTTTTATATGACTAAAGATTACTTGAAATAACGTATAGGTAATTGTTATTGAATCTCATCCTATTATCTCTCCTGAATAATGCACATCTGATAAATTGGATCTTTGATTAATCTGTTAATGTTAACTAGCCTATAGTGAAAAGAGGTAGTTAATAAACTTGTAATTTTCAGCATCTTTTTGATTATGGAAATAAAGACAAAGTAAGCGAATGCCTGTTGGCATCGAGACATTCCACGATTTTCTAGTTTCTATCAGACTCCTTTCTGGGAATAAACGCATTGCAAACAATGTGGAAGGATGGTATGAGTACCAGGCCTGTTGACATACGTAGGCCCCGGGAACATGTATAAAATAGCGAGTCGACATCTGTCTTCTTGAAGAAGTAGTAATACAGATGTCGACTCGCTATTTTATACATGTTCCCGGGGCCTATGCCTGTTGAGGTACACTGTACCTACATCATGATGAACCATGATATCTCATTTCTTCTCAGCCCTGAGATGGGGGAAACAGAAAGATACTATGAGTATCAAAATGTCTCAGCCCTAATATGCCATGATATGATGAGCTTGATTTGGCGATCCAGGGGAGCCCAAAATTGAGGATTTTTGAGATCTTTCATCCCAGCTCATAAAACGTGTGTACATGTGCCTGTGCTAATATCTGCTGTTAAATACAATGCCTATCATATAATGTATTGGCATTAAAGTAAGTGATTACATGATAACAATGACAATTATTGACAGTTATAACTCTTCCCATCTGATGTGCTCAGATCACAGAATATGCCTCATAATATCAGAGCATGTTTCAGGTGAAACAGAAAGATGCTGTGAGTATCAATGAGGTACCAATTAAACTGGCAAAACTATACTTTGCTCTGTCCATCGAATACGATTTTTCCTATTACATTTCGTAAAATTCATGAACCTAAATGTTAGATTCCAGGTAATAGTAGAGAGGTTAAGCTTCACGTTTTTAAAATAACCTGTACGTAAACGTGTAGAATTATGGTCATCCAGAGATTAGTTCTCCCCTCGTTATATTCACCTGCCGGGTCGGGGATAAAGCTATGAGAAAAGTAGATGTAACTGGGTTCCTCGAAATACCAACTGTGAGTTCGACAGGAATCACTGAAGGTCGTAAATATTACCTCCCTATTGTGTCTATAATTAGACACATTGTTATAAATAACGCAAATTATCCATATGATTGCATCAAATACAAAACAAAGATATTTAAGTATCACCCAATTATGAAGTCTAATTAATTTGTTATGAGACTCTAAACTGCTTGACAATGCGAACGAAATGAATAGAGAAGGACAATTATATTATACTAATGATTTGCATACAATATAACCTTCTTTCTCGGATAACCATCTTCTCAATTCTAACCGTGAATATGACACCCTTATTGGCTTACTTAGTATAAGGCTTACTTGACTTTGGAAATCATGTTCACGAATGTGAAATTAAAGGAAATCAAATTGAAATAAAGTTCTCAATCAACTTAGTCAAATTGATCATTTTGAATAATACTTTGAGAATTAAGATCTGTTATTTGCTTATAACATTCTTTCACAGACCACCATATTCTGGTTAGTATAAACAGTGCAACTGAACCCTTGGGTAGAACCTCTCTGGTCTTTTCTGAATGAGAGCATGAAGTTGTAAAAATGTGAAACATTTTAGAAATTACTAAATCCGTTTTACTCCTTTCTTGATTTAAATAGAATGATAAATGTTTTTTATAAATAAAACTGTAAAGCCACTTTAGCTAAATGGAGACATCTTAACCGAATAACAAGACTTTAGATCTGGTTAAAAGCTCATTACTGGTATGCGATAATAGAATTTTCCGGAAAATGATCATGATGAATGAAATGATTAGAAAACGGAACCTAATAAATGAAATAAATATTAAATGATTACCATTATACGTATAAGTCCATTCTTGAAGATATTAGAATATTCGGGGCATACTGTGATGTACCCTTTGTATTCGTTTGACGTCACTTCTTAAAATAGAGCTTCGTCTTCTAGTTTAACTAGACTCTGCACGCAGGGTACCCTTGATGCAGAAGATCAAGACCTGGTCAATTTGTATCTAATCAGTAATCACATGTCATCTGTACCTGATATACAATTTTTTTCAGAACGACAATAGTGCAATAACGTCATTTCAAAGGGCAATATAGTGAATTATTATATCACTATCTAGCTAGCGACGGTATGATTGGTCAAAACCGGGTCACATGTCGTGGGATATCTGGCGATATTCAATGGCAATACTAATCAGATAAGACAACCGTGAGATATCTAGCGATATCCCACGCTCCCGGGAATTTTCAAAGAATTTGTTTTCGTTCAGTGTAAATAATTAAGATCAATGTAAGTCAAAATGGCGAACCGAGTAGATTTAATGTATTTCAATGTTAACCTATGACTTAATAATATTAGGGATGTTTAGCTAGACAGTGATATAATAAAACAAATATTTCACTCTATTTTCGGTGAATACCTGTAGCACTTTCACAAGGTGATATTCCACTTGCCCTTCGGGCTTCGTGGAATATCACTTGTGAAAGATGTACAGGTATTCAGCTCAATAGAGTGAAATATTTGTTCAATATTGGACCAAGGGCCCAAGGTCCAATATTTCACTATTTTGGCCGCAGAAATGACGTTATTACTATTATTACCACCGTTAATGCCCAGGGCTGAAATAGCAAATTTGAAATAGAAAATCTTACGCACTGAACGATATCACTTTTCCCGGGAAACATAGCCGGGCGGATAATGTCATTATTGCCCGACTAAAGTCATTAACGCCCGACACAATATTGCTCACGTCAATATAGCAATTTAAATGCCTTCTCAACTAGTACTAAAACCCCTAGAACAGGCCCTGCAAGGTGGTAATAATAAAAATTTCAGTCCATTGACTTTATTGTGATACAGGTTCAACTTTACATAAGCGAACCTTTAATGGCTACGAAGTGTCGGGAAACTTTTGCTCACCGGCACAAAGATGTGTACTAAAATCAATTCGCAAATTCAATCCAGGAAAATGGAAACGCTTCATAGATGAAAATGGAAATTGCCAGTATTCCCTTTCGGCGACAAATCGATTCGAATGGTGTCTCTGATGAACTTCTTGCATTTTTCAAAATTTTTCAAATCAATTTAATAATACTATAGCAATACTTTCTGTGGAAGATTTCTCAAAAGCAACTGATGCGCACTTTTTATCCCACCGAACAAAGTTCTAGGGGCCTAGGGACAAAGGAGCATTGCTCAGGAAGAGATTTTCGAGATGGCCACTGATTTTCAAAATTGCCGCCATTTTTCGTAAAAACATAATCTTTGGTAACTCAAATACCAGTGAACGGATTTGGTTCAGATTTTATATATTGATGCCTAGGGACACTGCAGTAGCTCTGTTCGAGAAGGGATTTTCAATATGGCCACGCATTATCAGCTCGATGGGGATTTACCACTCCGCGGAGTTGCTGTTTTTCTAGTTAATTTATATTTAGTAGCCATACTCTCTAGTAATTTAGTAAATGACAGTTTCTTTTTCACAATGATCGTGAAAAGGTTCAGTAAAGATGAATTTACCGATTGAGAAAATCAGCAAAATGAAATTTGAACTTATGATTGTTATCTGATGATACGAAGTGAGATGACCCCCTGTTGTTGGATTTTTCTGGATCGCTACATTTCTTCTGAAAACCATTTGAATCGGTACATGTATATCCACATAAACTAAGTAATGTAAACAATTATGTTGACAGGTACCTTTTTATTTCATCAACCATATCATAGTTTCGCACCGCCACATCATACTGAGAATTTTAACAAAGTTATGTCAATCTGCAAATTGCTGTTTTTATCGGTTGATACTATTGAAAAGTGTTTATAAATGTGTGTTTGTGTGTTGCTTTAGGGATCGAAAAATAAGGCAGATACAGCTGTATATCAATTAAAAGTTCATTGTTACCTGTTATTCCATTTACATTATTTTATTTCTAATGTACTCGTTTTATTTAGAAGACGTACGTGTGATCAAACAGAAACATGTATGAGATTACCGATCCAAAGCAGACTGTTAATATGATGAAATAGAATCCAATAAAAGATTATCCTGTCGCAGATGAGCAAGGTTTCATAGAACAAAAATTCGGATCAATTCAATACAGACTAGAGTTATACAGTGATCATGTGCTTTCTTTTGAAGTGATTGACTCGATTAGGTTTCATTGCGGAGTCTATAAATGTAATCGGGCCGACGGTCGTCATTGTGAAGTAATTCTTAATAGCAACATTCAACTAATGAAAAATAAGTGCTAATGCTTAATAATTACTGATCATCTATTAGCTTATAAGTCTAATATATAGACGGTAGTAAATGGGATTGCTGATCCATTTATGATGAGCCAATAAATCTAAATCATGTCGTGACACCATAAATACTAATTGCTATTCTGAGGAGTGGACAAAAGTAAAGTATCTATGACTAAGACTCTAAGATCATATCCTAAGTCTGAGATTCCTAAATACGAGGTCATTTGATGAGTTTCCAAATTGTGCTTATTCATCATTCGAACCTGACTGTATTCACGCCTTCTAAACTGTAAAAAGTCAATATTTCGCCCGGTATTTATTCGTCGATACAATACCTGGTCTGTACTAAGTGTTTCGTTCAGTGATAAATCGATAATGAGGGAAGGCATTATTCGCTCCAAGTTGTGCTTCGACGTAAATATTCACCTCATAAATGTTAAATGTAAATGTTTTTCTAGTTGTAGCACATGAGTAATAAAATGTTTCATGAAAGAAAATGATTGTCACTTTTATAGATGTATTGCCAATTATTGTAACTGTCCGCTATTGGCTAAACAGTTGTAATATAATGGAACAAGGCATTACGATGACAAAATGTCACCACCTAGTTGCTCACAATATTTAATCTAAGTCAGATTTGAACTTCTGAGAACGTGTAGATGATTTTGAAAAAATTGGGCAATAGACTAGATGCGAGTAGAAATAATATTGATTTCGGGGAGATTCTCTATAGACCCAATGTTATAAAATCACAAAAGCATATGAGTGAAATATCTTTTCTTGTTTTGGACAGATAGCATTATAAGTTATTGAATGATTTGAAGTGCAATACAGGATATATTCTGCTCGAGAAATTCAGTATTGGAATGAGATGAAGTCGAGTGCCAATACAGAATATCGAGACAGAATATATCCTGTATTGCACTTCAAATCATTCAATAACGTTTGTATCGTGTGATCCTCTGTATTGTTACTGAGATTGCCCCCTCCGTACCAATATTTTCTGTATTGCGACGGAGATGATCAAGGGGGACAATCTCAGTCGCAATACAGATTGGTACAGCACAAGAACTGACCAACCAGAGAGCTTCATTTTACAGATCATACGATAATTTCTTTTATTGGACATATTTCAATTTGCATAACTATTAGATACGCAAGGGTGATATAAAAATTGAACCACTAAAACAGATTTGAATTTCTTAGAACTTGTAGATAATTTTGAAAAAAATGAAGTCAGTCTAAACAGTATTTGCTAAGATATTGGGAGTAGTAAGCCAACGCCAACCGCCGTCACAAAAAGAGACGATGAAAATATGTCACCACTTAAATGTGGTGATATATAAACGCTGTTATACATATAAGCGCCGTTTAAAAAACTTCGTTTTGGATTATCGTATTATCTATAAATATGTTGACCTTAATTGTGGTCGACTGATATTGATGATTACTTACGTTTTTTCGCTTTTTTCGATTTTTGAACTTATGTCGCTTCTTAAAATGTGAATTGAGAAGTATGTCAAGAATCTATTTATAGCAGATCCAGAGGGTAATAAGCAAGTTAACATTATCATTAATAAGCAAGTTAACATTATCATTAACAACACTCGGTATCATGATCAGGGTTTATATTTTCATCGACGAGGATATGATCAATTCATCCTTGAGTGTCTCTCTATCACATATATAGATGCTTACGGTGAGTGATCAATTCAAGTACATGTCACGACGTGTTTTATTTTTCTAAAAATGCTCATTATGATGTAACTTCGATGATTGCTTCAAGGATCGAATCATCAAAGAATACAATGGGAAATTAATTCCATTTGAATGAGACCGTCAAATCTTTAAAACATGGTCACGAATAATCATAATAGAAAACGAATTTGCGAATTAGATACCTGATATACAGGTACTACGACCTTGTTAAACAACACCACATCATGATTAGGCTTACGAATCATATTATTTTTGGGCGTTATAAGTAAAAAGGGCTAGGCAAGCAGCTGTAGGCAAGGTGTGTCCAATACCAGCCAATCCGAACACAGTATTTCATACATACAGTATATATGGGACAGTTTACGATAATTGATATTTTAAAAATCTGTTGTTGTACTAGAGACTGCGACATACATGTATATGTTGATTTCATGGACATGCAATGTGTTATTTTTTGTTGTCCAGACTTTAAGCAATCATTACCACAAGGTACCTGTTTGGAAAATTGCTTATCTTTTTAAAAAATTATCACTTAAATGATGGATTTTTTGACAATTAAAAAATATTTTATTTTTTCGGCAAATATAAATATATGTTCACGGTTGATAGGTTTCACTATACAGAAAACGTAAATTAACATATAAGTTAATTAGGAGAAAGTGTTTCTGTATGTGCGCAAGCACAGGTTTTACTGTCTCTGTGTTAGGAACATGCCAAAATTTCAAGTTTTTACATCGACCTAGCTCAAGGGAATTGGCTTCCAGAATACAATTATCATTTCGTTTCGTTCGGTACATATACTAAGCCCCGGGTATTAAACAAACCATTTACCGCTTGAATAAGCCCGATCTTGAAGAATGTCATGGTTACGAAATAAAAAACTAAACGCCATTTTTCACTTCAGATTTTGAATCGCGTGTTTTGGTCTTATTACATGACAAAGCAGTTCTAAACACAAGAAGTGATCAAGATATTAGCTCAGA